TGGGAAGCAAACAATGCAAAAAATTATTACTTGGATTAACAATTCTGTTGGGCATTCCATAGGTACACAATTGCAGTATGAGACAGCAAAGGATTTTGGGATCATCTACAAAGGTTATTTACTCAGTCAAATTTTGCAAAGCAGTATCAATTGAGAATGACATACGAGCTCTTCAGCAAAAAGAATATGAGTGTTCTATGAGTTTTATTCTGCTATGACAGATCTTTGGGATCATTAGCTCTTACAGAATCTGTAGAATTAAAGGCATGTGGTGCCTATATTGCTCATAGGGAGCAGTAACGTTTGGTACAATTTTTAACGGCACTTCGCAGTGATTTTGAAGGACTTAGAGGTTCAATTTGCATCGTTCTCCAATGTCTTCTGTTGACTCAGTTGTCATGAATTATGGCGTGAAGAAATACGTCTTAATCTCATTCTAAAAAGGGAATTCTTTTTGCTTCTACTTCTAATCCTTCTGTGTTAGCAGTACCTTTGAAGCCAGTCTTTAATAATAAATAAACCTTACACAAGGGTTGCCTTCGACGAGTTCAGTTTCTGTAAGCAAAAGGTCATTGGAAGGCTTAGTGTCCTAAGTTGAGGCAACAGAATCATCGCAGCAGCAATCTCAAGCTTGGAAGCCTGGCAACTATCACAATCTAATGCTTATAGACCACCTCAGGGTTACAAACCACCATAGTCTAATACTGCAGCAGTAGTTTCATCAGGTCCTTTCACCGATCCTAGTACTCTGCGAGCAATTTTAGAGTTTCTCTCCTTACAACCACAAGCTATGTCTGCTTCTTCTTCCATAGGTCAGTTACCTCATAATTCTTCAGGTATGTCACATTCTGTAGGGTTTGGATTCTGGTGCTTCATATCAATTGTCTCTAGATCTTCATCTTTTGCTTCCGTGTCTCCTTCGTCTTCTATTCCTGTCATGACTGCTGATGACACTCCTATGCCTTTAGTAGGTGTTGGTTCTGTTGTCAAACCTCACTTGTCTCTCTCTAATGTTTATCATATTTCAAACTTACATTAAATCTTGCTTCTGTGGTCTTTTATGTGATTCTGGTAATTTAGTCACCTTTTCCTCTTCTTCTGTTATGTGGCATGTCTACAGTCACAGAAGCTGATTGGGACAGCGGTAGGAAGGGGGGATTATATATTTTGGATGAGTTAAAAGTGCCAGTTGCTGCTGCTACTAGTGCTGATGCTACCGCTACTAGGGTTGATTTGTCTTCTTTTCGTTTGAGTCCTTCTTCTTCTAGTTTTTATTTATGGCATTCTCGTTTAGGTCATATTTCGTCTTCTCGTTTGAGATTTTTGGCATCCACAGGGGCTTTAGGAAATTTACAAACTTGTGATATTTCTAATTGTAGTGGATGTAAACTGGCAAAATTTTCAGCTTTCCTTTTAATCGAAGTATTTCTGTTTCTTCTTCTCCATTTGATTGTGATTCATTCGTGTAGTAGACCTTCTCTTGTTGCCACAAAAGGAGGGTCTTGATATTATGTTTCCTTTATTGATGATCATACTCGTTTATTGTTGGGTCTATTTAATGAAACACCGTTCTGAATTCTTTGAGATATATACTACCGCTTTCAAGCTCTTGTCAAAACTCAACATTCTTCTATTATCAAATGTTTTAGGTGTGATTTGTGGGGAGTACACTTCTAAAAATTTTTTGAGTTGCTTGCATTAGATGGAACTGTTCACCAAACCTCGTGTATAGATACTCTCGAGCAAAATGGTGTTGCTGAAAAAAACATAGGCATATTGTTGAACTGCTCGTTCTCTCTTATTGTCTGCCTCTGTTACTATGTGTTTTGGGGTGAAGCTGTTCTTACTGCTGTAGGTTTGATTAATACAATTCCATTTTCTCATATTTCAGGTTTTTCTCCTTTCGAAAAGTTGTATGGGTATGCCCTTGATTATTCTTCCTTTAAAGTTTTTGGTTGTATCTTGTTTCGTTCTTCGTCCTCATGTAGAACGCAGCAATTTGTCCTCTCGATCTGCTATTTGTGTCTTTCTTGGTTATGGTGAAGGTAAAGGGGTATCGTTGTTTTGATCCAATAACTCAGAAACTTTATTGTCTCGTCATGTTGTTTTTCTTGAGCATATACCTTTCTTTTCTATTCCATCCACTACTCATACCTTGACTAGATCTGATCTAATTCGTATAGATCCTTTTTCTCTGAGGATTCTAATAGTTTGTCATCTCAGGTTCCTAGACTGATCATTCTACAGATACTGACATTTTACTCTCCAGCACACCTGAAGCTCCCTCTTCTCCTATGGTCACTCAAGCTTCGTCTGAGATTGTGGATCCACCTCTACGTCAATCCATACGCATTCGTAAGTTCACAAAGTTACCAGATTTTGCTTATTCTGTTATTCTCATCTTTTCTTCTTTTTAGCTTCTATTCATTGTCTCTCTGAGCCCTCTTCCTATAAAGAGGCAATTCTTGATCCTCTTTGCAGCAAGCTATGGTGAGGAACTTTCGGCTTTGCATAAACAGGTACTTGGGTTTGGTTCCTCTACCTCCTGGTAAGACTGTTGTTGGTTGTCGTTAGGTGTATAAGATCAAGACTAATTCTGATGGATCTATGAGCGATACAAACTAGGTTGGTTGCAAAAGGTACTCTCAACAGTATGGTATGGATTATGAGGAGATATTTGCTCCTGTTGCAAATGACTCTATTCGTACTCTTATTGCAGTATCTCGGTTCGTCAGTGGCATATCTCTCAGCTTGATGTTAAAAATGCCTTCTTGAATGGAGATCTTCAAGAAGAAGTTTATATGGCGCCCCTTCTGGTGTTTCACATTATTTTGAAGTTAAGTAGAAATTTATTTTATAAAATTTCAATAATGGTGGTATACTAAATTGAAAAGGGATATTAAGAGTTTCAAATGCAATTTTTAAATAATTTTAACAAGTTGTGATGCCCTTAGTTAGGGATGGCAAACGGGCAGGTCAAAGTTGGGATCGCCATCCCCATCCCCAAAATAAATAGCATCCCCGTCCCTATCCTTGAGTCGGACAATTCAGAGACGGGGCGGGGATCCGGAATGGGGATCAGGTGTTCACAAGGATCTGATCCCCAAATTTAAAAAATAAAATTATTTTATTTTTTATTTTTATAATTCATAATGAATTTTTTACAAAATGTTACGCTTTAGGAACTCTCTTTTTAGTTTAATCTAAGCCATATATGAGAAATAAAAATTGATTTACATTCAATGTTACTAATTATGATAATATTTATATTCAACGTTTCAAATTATGTACTAACATACATATTTAATTATTTTCTAATAAGTAATATTATACCTACAACATTTTCTCATAAGCTTTTTCTCACCACTTTGACGTGGCAGCTCACAATTGATCAGATAAGTCCAATTGTGAGCTGTTACGTCGGGATTATAAAAGAAAGTTTGTGAGAGGAGGTTGTGGGTATATTGCTATTTTCTTATTGTACAAGAAAAGAAACTAATAATTTACATTAGAGATTAATGAAAAAAAAATCATAATCACATACATGCACAATTTTTATATAAAATCTGCATGCGCACACATTTTAAATAGGAGTTTACATATATACCTCTATTAGAATTATAGTTTCACTAAACTTAAGTTTTTAAACACAATTAAATTCAAAAAGTTTAATCGTTACTAAGTTGTCCATGTTAATCACATGTATATCAATCAAAACATATAATTTTTTTTATTTTTATTGATTAGGAAGGTAAGTTCATTTTCTTTTTTTATTTTGTTACTTTGTTATAGATACTAATTTTTTAAAAATATTTATTTATTATTAATAAATTAGTTTTTTATAATTTGTAAGGAATAGTTTGTATAATTAGTTTTTTTATGTAACATTATTCTTATTTAATCTTATTTACCTGATAACATTGGGAATAAATTATATTTAAGATACCTGAGTTGACGGAGTCACAATTGGGCCTCATGGGGGTTGGAGGCCCAGCCCAAAAGTAGCTTTAAGTAAAATTTTATTTAGGTACATATGTCTATTTAAGATATGTGAGAGCAAATAAAATTTATAAAAATGCCCTATAACAGGTTATAGTTGGATTAAATTGTATAATGTATACTGGGATATTTTTAGGATTATAAAGATTAAAATTGATTAGGAATAATTTAAACCTAGGTGAATTCTTAGAAAGGGGCAAATAAGTGATGTGATAATCTTGTAGTTTTCTAGATTTTTTTATTAGTGCCCAATTTATAATACCTTTAAAATTTTCAAATAATTTATTGACAAATATATCCTTAAGTAGATATATTTTTTACTAATATCTAGCAGATGTTAAAACTTAAAATAACTATCTTATTAATTTAATGTTGTGAACCTACATACAGTCCTTCCTATTCTTTTCTAATACCATCTTAGTCCTCAAAAATTTTAATTCTTTCAGCTTTTTAGAATATCATGTATTCTTAACTTCTAATCATTTATTTGTATATGATAAATTGATAATGCATGTTTATCTTTTATTTTGCTATTTTATTTCATTAAATTACTATGAATCTCTATTCTTTAAAAAAAATGCTAATACTTAAATTTCATTAAAATCTAGTTAATGAGCTTAAGTGGACGTCTCTGTGTGGACATGATTTAGTTTCACTTTCTTTCCTTTATTTATTTTTTTTTTTTATGCTTTGGAATTAATTATTGACATCTTAATGCTGACTAAAATAAAACATGTTTGTAATTCATCATTTTTAGTATGATATTTTTATAGCATTTATAAAGTATTATATATCTAAAATGTTCTTTAAATATTAATAATCCAGAAGAGCTCCCTCTCACATAAATTTATAGGTCCACCAGAGTTTGTATGAGTTGTCTTGAACTATTTTTATTGTTTGTTTATTTACCTATAAGGTTTCAAAAAGCAAGTGTAGAGCAAATTAAAACTTGCCAAATTGATTTTTCCCCTTTCTCTTACTGTTCTTTGCAGACACGAATCACAATTGATCAAACAAATTGTTGAGGAAATATCAAAACAATTAAAGTGAATTAGTACCAATAAGAATCTTTTTGGAATGGAACGTCGTCTGCAGAAATTAATAGATGATTATTTACAAACAGAATTGGATGACGTTCGCGTCATTGGCATATGTGGGATGGGAGGAATAGGTAAAACTACAACTGCTAGAGTTTTATATGAGACACTTTCGAATCAATATGAATGTAGCAGCTTTGTTGCCAACGTTAGAGAAGTCTCTGGATCAATAGGTCTAGCTCCTTTGCAAAAACAACTCCTTTCTGAAGTCATAAAAGCAAGAAATTTACAAATAAGCGATTATCATCAAGGAATCAATTTGATAAGTAGTCGGCTTTGTAGGAAAAGAGTTTTTCTTGTTCTTGATGATGTTGATCAATTAGAACAATTGGAAGCATTGGCTGGAGAGCATGAGTGGTTTGGTTCTGGTAGTAGAATCGTCATTACAACTAGAGATCAACATTTGCTTGTAAGCCATGGAATAAAAGATACACATATATATAAGGTTGAAGGATTGAAACATGATGAAGCTCTCAACCTGTTTGAATCAAAGGCGTTCAAAAACAAGAAACCCTCTGATAAGTATGTTTGGCTCTCCATGAGTGTCGTAAGTTATACGCAAGGACTTCCATTAGCTCTTGTAGTGTTGGGATCCTATTTGTGTAATAGAAGTGTAGAGGAATGGACAAGTGCCTTGGACAGACTACGGGATGTTCCACATGAAAGAATTGCAAAAGTGCTAAGAATAAGTTATGATTCCCTAGATCAAATAGATAAAAGAATATTTTTAGATATCTCATGTTTCTTTAATGGGAAAAACAAAGATCAAGTCATGGAAAAACTGAATGGTTTTGGTTTTAATTCAGCCATAGGAATAAAAGAACTCGAACAAAAATCTCTAATAACCATCCGAAATAATGAATTGTGGATGCATGATTTGATACGAGAAATGGGTTGGGAAATTGTTCGTGAACAACATCGTGATAACCCTGGAAAATGGAGTAGGTTATGGCTTTCTAAGGATAGCTTTCGTGTTTTGAGAGAAAATATGGTAAGAAATTTTTTAAGAGAATGAATTATGTACCATTATTTCAATATATGGCAGTTCATCAAGGTAACTTCTCTATTAATATTCATTTATTTATTTTTATTTTTTGAAGGGAACTGATGCAGTTGAAGGAATGATACTGGACCAGCCTGAAGTTGAAATTCTAAACTTGAATGGTAAATCCTTGTCTAAAATGAACAATTTGAGACTGCTCAAAATCAGTAATGTGCACATTTCGGGAGACCTAGAGTACCTCTCAAATGAGTTGCGATTTCTGAAATGGCATAAATATCCTTCAAATTCTTTGCCTTCAAGTTTTCATCCTCAGAATCTTTGTAAACTCAACATGTGTTATAGTCATGTCCAACATCTTTGGAACGGAATAAAGGTATACATATTAATGCTCAATCTCTCTGAATGCATATCAATTATTAAGTTATGAAATCAATTTTTTGGTTCTTGTAGGCTTTTGAGAAGTTGAAAAGCATGAAGCTTAGTCACTCTTACAATCTGATTAGAACACCAGACTTCACACAAATTCCGAATATAGAGAGCCTTGATCTTGAAGGGTGTATAAGCTTGCTTGAGGTTCACGAATCCGTTGGACTGCTCACAAAGCTTGTGCTTTTAAATTTGAAAGACTGCAAAAATCTTGTGAGTTTCCCAAGCAGCGTCTGTGGTTTGAAATCTCTCAAGAATCTGAATCTATATGGCTGCTCGAAACTTGAAAAACTTCCCCAGAACTTGGGGGAAGTCGAGTGTTTGGAGGAGCTAGATTTAAGTGGGACTGCAATAAGAGAACTGCCACCCTCTATTACTCTCTTGACACATCTTGAAAAGCTGTCTCTCCGTGGATGTAATGGGCAACAAAACAGAACATGGACTTCTTCCATCTGGTCATTGCTTTTGCCGAAAAGATACCAAGATTCAATGTGTTTATCGCTGGCTAATTTGATAGGTCTGAAGTCTCTTAGAACATTAGACTTGAGTGATTGCAATCTTTTGGAGGGAGCAATCCCCAATGATCTTTGTTCCTTAGTCTCTTTAGAAACTTTAGATTTAAGTAGAAACCATTTTGTTAGCCTACCATCAAGAATGAATCAGCTTTCTAAGCTTAAAAATCTTTCAGTGAACAATTGCCAGAGGCTTGAGTCTTTGCCAGAGCTTCCATTTGGAATAATTTTTATTGGGGCACAAGCTTGCGTTGCATTGAAAACATTCTCAAGTCCACTAAGTCCAACTAGTTCTGCAAATATCTTGGTCCAGTTTTTCAATTGCTCCGAACGGGTCACAGATCAAGGCAGCACGACCAACATCACGTTGGCAGTTATGTTCCTGAAACTACGGCTTCAGGTCGGTCTCTTCTCGCATCTGTCCCTAATTACTTAGAATACTTTGTCAATTAAAGTTAATAATTTGTATATCTAGAGCTACATTGATCTACATATTTACATGCAGGAACTCTCTAGTCAATCTGCTCAATTTCATATTTGCCTTTCTGGTGGTGAGATTCCAGAGTGGTTTAGCCATCAGAGTCATGGAGCCTCAGTAAGAATCCAACTACCTCCACACAGGTACAATGATAACTTCATGGGATTCATTGTTTGTTTAGTGTTTTCGCTGTCTGATTATTCAGATCAAATATGTGAGGAGTCCAGACAGTTCTTCCAGATTCGATGCTTTTTAGAGATTAAATATATAGTTTCTTTCTCTTTCACATTTCTCACCCCTAGTTCCTCAACTGTGGAGTCTGATCACCTTTGGCTAGGCTATATTTCACATACAGAGTTTGAAGGTATTTCAATAAGGAAAAGTTGGCTTCATGACATTAAAGCAAGCTTTAAAGTCTATGGACATGGTATGCAAGGATGCAGTGTCTCTGTGAAAAGGTGTGGAATTCATCTTCTTTACAAATAGGAAAACAGAATAAGATAAATTTGGAGACATAGTTTATATATTTTTATGGGATAACTCTTGATTTAATGATGTTGATTATCATTTGTCATGATGCTAACAGTTTCCTATCAGTATTTGTTACAACTGTGACAAACATATGGATTCTTGATTTGATTTGTTAATACTTAGATGTGTTATGATAGAAATTGGTTTATTTTAATGCCCGAAAATTCGATGATTCTTTGTTGCTTCTTTAATCAGACTAGTGGATACGATGTGGTAGCATAAAGGGTAAGTGTAACTAATTTGAATTGTCCATCTCCTTCAATTTTAGATTCTTATATAGGAGTCCCTAGCTATGGGTGGTTATTTTTATACCTTAGGTTTAGGTTTGTTAAGGTAATCATATTATGAAAGGATCTTGGTCCATTGTTGGGACCAAAAGTTGAAATTTTGAAGAAATAATGTACTAATTTTTACTTATAAGTCACTAAATTTATCTCGTTCTAGAATATAGATAATGTTATTGTGATATTGGTTGATGATGTTGCTTTGCGGTTCTTCTTCTATCTATGGAGGCCTTTCACTTTTGAATTTTTTATTAAATTTTTAATTTAATTGTTTTTTTAAAAGAATATTATATGTTGAGGAAGAAATGAGTTTTCTAGACCAACTCAAACCCACTCCAAACCCCAAGTTCAACCCAATATCGACCTAAATTTTTATGGGTCAAGCCCAGTTGAGTTGGGATGGGCAAGACCCAGCCAGCCCAATGCATTCTTTTATCATCTGAACTAAAAAGTTCATTTCATTTTCGTAAAAAAGAAAATGTTATATTATTTGACCCCTACTTAATCGATTTTTAAAATAAAAAAATAAATCTTTTTAAATTGAAATTTATATTAAAAAAAAACATATTTGAACATTAATAATATTATTGTGATTTGTGAGATGCCAAAGCATTTATTTAAATTCTTACATATTTTAATTGTAAATTCTCTTCTTTGTAATGCCTTTAATATATTAATAATTGTTTTGTTCGTTTTTTGAGAAAACTGGAAAATGGGTTTTTTTTTTTTATATATATTTAAGAAAATAAATCTTNAAAAAAAAAAAAAAAAAAAAAAATGTTATATTATTTGAACCCTACTTAATTGATTTTTAAAATAAAAAAATAAATCTTTTTAAATTGAAATTTATATTAAAAAAAAATATTTGAACATTAATAATATTATTGTGGTTGTGAGATGCCAAAGCATTTATTTAAATTCTTACATATTTTAATTGTAAATTTTCTTCTTTGTAATGCCTTTAATATATTAATAATTGTTCTGTTGGTTTTTTGAGAAAACTGGAAAATGGAGTTTTTTTATATATTTAAGAAAATAAATCTTGTTTGTTGTTCAAAACCAATGAGACGCTGACTTAATCATGACTACGAAAAAAGAATAAAGAATAAAGAATAAAGAGGAATGAATAATGAGGTTATTACGAATATAACCTTATAGTCCCAAATCCAATCCAATGACCAAGAGATAGAATTTTGTTTAAACTAGAATAGATGGATTTGAGATAATCACATATAATATGTTACATAATTCGTTTTTTTAGCGTTTAAAAATTGAATAACCAACATTTAACCTCTTTTTCAATGTAAAGAAATAAGAACCACATATGTGAAGTAATGCAGTTAATTAATTATTCTAAGTATAGTTAGGATTATGTTATAAATACATGTTCATTTATTCTATCATATTCATCATCAAAGAGAGTTGTTGATCATCACAGTAAGGTAGTATCTCGATCTCGATTGATAATGGAAAGCTCAATGATGAAGGTTGTCGTCTTGAAGATGATAATAATGGTAGTTTTAATTGTTGGTACATTGATTGAAATCAGTGAGGCTGGAGTTCCATTTTGTTGTAGATACAATCCAGAATGCTGTGAGAAGGCCTTATCTCATCCCAATGTTAAACTCCCTACTAATAATTAATTAACTTCATGTTATGTAATTTCATATTATTAATGCTTGTATGTATTTATAATGGTTGTGAGGAAAATCTTACAACCATGTAATATTTGATGTTACACCACATTAAATGTATTTATAATAAGTGATGTAATTTCTTTACTTAATAGATATATATAATCTCTTCTTCTTTTTTCTTATATATATTAACATCTATATTGTGTATAATATCACCCATTTTGCCTTGCTACTCAATATATATAATCTCTTTTGAATCGAATCCGGATAGATTAGCTGCTTTTGTTAATGCATTCTTCCATCTCAACACCTTCTCTAAGCTCCGCTCTTCATCATGCTTCCTAACATCTGACAGATCCACGTGATAGAAAATTGGCACTACAATCATATCTCTCAATTCCTTGTATTCAATGATCTTTTCAAGTTCTTCAAGGCATCATCTAGACGTGGCATGCCCTTCCAGAAGATAATGACTTGATCGCATTCAAAAGTGTTTTTGAAATTTCATCTCCTCTTTCATGATCATAACTATAAATGAACTCAAAACTACATAGAGATGACTTGTAAAGTCATCACATGTGTCCTCACCTCTCAAACTAAGAAAGACATGATATTTTTTCTTTTTCTCTAGTGTAATATTTAAAATTTAAATGCGCCATTTAGTGACAGTATGCTCTCTTTGCTTGATTAATTTTTATCAACCTTCAATCTTCAAGGCAAAACGTAGTATTTATTTTCTTCAAGTTCCCACAAATCACCATTGCCAAGCTTGTAAGAACTCCTCGTGTGTTAAATTAGTCCTCGTTCCTCTGTTTATGCAGAAAAAGTCCTCCGCCTCTTACCGTAAGCATATTAATTGTAAATTAAAATGACTTATGTTATAGATTTTATTAATAATTTGTATCTTACATGAAAACAAAATAATTTTGGGTTCGTTTGGTTCATTATTCTAATACTATTTAGAATAATATTTTAAAAAAAGTTAAATTGGATGGGTATTATGATGTAGGATTTGGAAATTAACAAAAATACCTCATATGTTTGTTTATTTACTAAACGCCTCTATAATAAAATATTAAAAGTGAACAAAAACACCCTCAATCCACCCATTAAATACGAACAGCCGGCCACCACCGCCGAAGGGTGGTCGGAGTCGCCGTATCAGTGCATAACCGGCTGGATCTTGCCGGTTGTGTGTTGATATGACCTTTTTCGGTGGATCTGGCCGTTTCCGACCAGATCTGGCAACATTTGGTCATCAATGACAACCAAAGACACAGTTGTCGTTGACGATTGGTTACGGCCAAAGATCTGACCGTAGATCTAGCCTTTTCCGACCAGATCCATTGTGGATCTGGTCTGAAAAGGGTAGATCGGCGCACTACCAGCCAGATTCAGTCAGTAGTGCTCTATTATACCAGATTCTAGCCAGCTTTTGACAGTGGTAGCCGGAATCTGGTAAATGTGGATTGCTGGGGTGTTTTTGCAATTTCTAAAAAAAAAATTGGGAGTGTTTAGTTAAATTAATAAATTTAGGGGGGTTTAAAAGAAATTGAATAATATAGAATAATATTTTGTGAATAAGCTAATTTTACTGTTTAACTTTATTGGGAAAACACAGAATAATATTTTGAAGAGTGTATCAAATGGAGCCTTTAGTTTCCTTGAAGTTTATTTTTACTTCTTGCTTTAATATTTTCACCTCTAAAATTATAGAATAAGCCTATTGATACGTTTAGGGAGAAGGAATTAGCTTAAAATAATAAGGTTCTGTTTGATACACTTTTCCCAATAAAGTTAAACAGTAAAATTAGCTTATTAATAAAATATTATTATATATTATTCAATTTCTTTTAAACCCCCCTAAATTTATTAATTTAACTAAACGTCCCCAATTTTTTTTTTGAAATTGCCAAACACCCTAACAACCCACATTTACTAGATTCCGGTCGCCACTGTCGGAAGTTGATATAATGGCGCACTACCGGCTGAATCTGGCCGGTAGTGCGCCGATCTAGTTTTTTTCGGTCAGATCCACAATGGATCTAACCGGAAAAGGTCAGATCTACGGCCAAAGATCTGGTCGTCAATGGTCAGATCTCTGGCTATAGCCAGTCGTCAACGACGGTCGTATCTTTGACCGTCATTGACAACCAAACACAATTTAATAAGTGATCTATCCGATGACGCATTGTGTTGTCCAGAAAGTACAACATCATGCCAGGAACAAAATTTAATTAAAGCAATTGGTGATATTGATATATAACAACTATCCCTCTTATTCACTTATGTTTAATTTGAAAGCAAATCATTCCATTGTGTGACTGGTTTTGATGTTTCCTTAAAATGCAGAACTGAGGACATTCAAAAGGCTACAGCAATCAAGCACTAACTTATCAATGGCAGAAACTTCATTCAGGACATTGAAAGAAAGAAAATTGATGCTGATGAAACAAGTTCTCTCAGTGTCAAGTTTTCACATTTCCTTAGTGAGTCCATTGTATCTAGATTTCTTTTATCCTCTTTTTCAAAAATAGAACTCTTAAGATCCTATTCATGTGCAATCTTTTCTTAGACAAGTATACTTAAAAGAACTTTTGATTAGTATACCTAAATGGGATTTCTTCAACAAATTAGGTGGAAAGCTCACCAAGCAAATGTTAAAACTTGATATTGACAAACTTGTTTCAGCAGCCAAATTTTCTGTTTCTTACAAGGTCCTTAATGAAGTTTGTTAAAGCGTGTAATCATCATTAAATCCTTGGGTTGGTGTGATTGTCAGGATATAATCCGGCTTTATGTCTCATCACCTTCTTCCCAAGCTGACTTCGCACGGTTTACAGCAGAGAAACGGACGCGTGGGAGCCCCATATCGTTTGGCAGGCCTGACATGTGTTTGTTGTACTGACGGGAGCAGGTCATCCTCCACGTGACCCTTCCACGTCAGCCCTTACTTTCCCAGGCATAACAGAAGCCCCCTAGTTTGTAAGGTTTGGAGGATCGAACCTTGGAAACTAACTCGTGCCGCGATGGGTTTTAGTCGTTTCGACCCGAACGGGGGAAGCTCGGTGTAGAATCCCTTGCGAGTACGACCCCGAGCTGTCCTCATTCAAACGACCTGATGACCATCATGCTAGCGACCTGGATTCGTTGGGCGTTCCTTTCTATGCTGTGGAAAGATTCAATGAACTTGCGTCCGCGCTGCCGGGCACTTTGCTCGCTCTGTAATGTGTCAGGTTCATTAAATGCGTGTGCTGACTCGATGTCGTATTGACAGTCTTTTGACTGCGCAACGCCTCTGAAACGTCAGCCCTCATTATGGCATTTAATGCGACGTGGGGCGCATTAAATGCGGGGAGGAGAGAGAGAGCTGTCGCTTCGTTTCTTAAGGGTTGCAACCGTCGGTTCGTTGCCCATATAAGAACTCGTGTTTTTCAGATGACGCCACCGACATTTCCTTTGCTTCGAGTGACAAACCTTTCCAAACCAGAGAACTTTCTTTCCCGATCGGCGCTTATCAGGCAACTGGAATGAGTTTCGGCCTCGATTACGCATCCTAGAAAGTAAGCTTCTCTTTTCTTTCTTTTCCTTTTTTGCATTTGTTTGGTTGGTGGGCAACGACGTTGTCTCTCGGTGTTTCACCAGAGATGTGCCACTGTTGCCGGACTCGAGCCGTGGGTGGCGGCTCGAGTTACTATTAGGGTTTTAGGAGTGTGTCCCTTGCCGTCGCACGGGGCAAAACACGAAGGATTAAATAACCGTGTCTGTCGATGTTACAGACTCGAATGGATCCGTCAACGTCCAGACCCGAGGAAGGAACCAGTTCGTCCACGCGGGAAGTTCCCGCGGACGCGTCCCTCGACGTCTTCTCGGTTCTCACCCGAGAAGAGTTTGATAGGATTAAAAAGCAATATAACGTCCGAGCAGAGGTGTTCCTCAACCACACCAGGTCGTCGCGACATCCTGCCGACGGCCTTGCTGCGATCTCCGAAGAGATCTTTAAGGGTGGAGGGCTGATTCCATTTCATCCTTTCATCAGGTCAGTCCTGGATCACTTCGGGATCGTACCGATGCAGCTCACACCGAACGCGTATGTCATCGCCGTAGCGATGTACATCGCGTGCTGCGAGAGCGGCTTGGGCGAGCCAACGGCAGTGGAGCTCGGCGTCGCCTACTATCTCAAAAAGAGTAGGGACAAAGACTCGTACTACTTGTCCCGGCGACCTACCATTGCTGAGGGGATACATAGTTATCCCAGCAACGCAGGAGCCTACGAGACCAAATTCTTCTTCTTCTGCTACGACGGCTACTGCCACTTTCAGGCGCCAAGTAGGTCCTTCTTCGTTAGGTATATTGTCTGTTCGCGTGCTTTATGATAACGACCTGTTTCTTTTGCAGTTAATAGAACGACTAGCCAAGACTTGCTCGACGACCCGGACAGACTTGTATCCTTTGGAGTGCTTCCTGAGGAAAGCCGAGACGCGAGGAAGCTAGTGACCACCGCGAACCTGCGAAAGTACGATTTTATCAATAGCAACGCGTCGTTAGAACCCCTCGAAGGTAAGTTACATTGGTTTTCTTTCTAGTCGCTGAATGATTTTGTTTACTAACACTTATGTTTGTGCAGAAACTATTCCTCCGAAGGAGTCCGGGCAGTCTCGCCGGGCACCGTTCGTCTTTCCTCGATCGAGGAATGAGAGGGCGGTCGAAGCTGCCCGTCCCGGCATAACCAACACGAGCTGCCGCGCCCTCACGGCCCCAACCCGCGCAAGGAGCGACCAGGGCGGAGCAGGTCGCTCAAGCGCCCCCGGCCCGTCCAAAGCGTAAGGCTCCAGCTCAAAGGTCGAAGAAGAGGAAACAGGTTCAGGCCGACGAGTCTGAGACTGAATCTGAGGAGGAGCCCTTGAGGTCGCGACAGGACTCAAGGAGGCTGGGCAAGGAACCTGTGGGCGAGGCGATCGCGAAGGATACACCAGTGCTCGACTCACTGGGGGGCCTGCCCGAGTATCTGCAACCGATAGTCTGTTCTCTACTCGAGTGTGGACTATCGGAGTCTTATGACGAGTTTGCTGACACGGGCGACGACCTTCTGACCACGTCGTTCTAACATCTTAGCAAGGTAAGCGAGCTGCATCTAAGTGAGGTGAGCGAGCTACTTTTAAAACTGGTTCATTTCTGATCACATTCTTGTTCGCAGGCTTTGCTTGCGATGAGGATGTCTATGGAGAAGACCCGGCTGGGGGCCGTAAAGGAGTCTAGCGATCAAGAGGAGATCGCGAAGCTTAAGAAAAGCCTGGAGTCTACTGAAGCTGAAAGGAAAGAGGCATTTGATGCGGCGAACAGGTACCTGATGCAAAAGGATGCCGCCTTGCGAACCGTGGACTTCCAGAAGGCGGAGCTCGAGCGGCGCGTGGAGGAAGTGAAGAAGCTGCAAAGGACGACCGCCAAGCTCTCCAAGGAGGTCGGGGAGAAGGACCAGGTGATTCAAACGACCTCCGAATGGGCCGAGAAGGCTGAGCAGGAAAGGGAGGCTTCCGAACAGGAGAAACGAGCTCTCGAAGTCGAACTCCAAGAGAGTCAGGAAAAGGTCGCTTTGCTGACCGAGGAAGTACGGGTTCAGTTGGAGGAAACAGAGGAAAAGGCCGCCGATTGGGCGATCGGGGCCATTTACACACTGCGACCAATGAACCCGGGTCTGGACGTGTCCGTCCTCCCACCAGGTTGGCAAGAGACCTTGCCGCTCTTGGCAGAGGAGGACGAAGCAGCAGTAGCGGCGGCCGCCAAGGGGTCCGACCAGGCAGGGGGTTCAGGTTCTGCTTCGAAGGATCCCCCCGACCAGCCGTAGTGTAATAGGCTTTGCTCCATTGGAAGTGGGCTCAATTTTTGCTTGTACATACAATTGAAATACATTTATGTTTTTTAATTACAACTCGCTTTTTCATACATATGTACTTGTTCGCAATTTTAGTTCAAATACATAGGCAATGCCATTTGTGTATTACAAGCGAACAGGATAAGCTCGAACCGTTAAGCGAACAAGATAATGCTTTACAAATATAGGGAACTTAATAAAAACGAACTAACTTATAACAAGGAATGAGTTCGGGATTACCGATAGTAGGGTCGAAGGTGCTCGGCATTCCAAGCTCGGGGCACTTTGGAACCATTTAGTCTTTTGAGATGGTAAGTTCCCGGTCTGATCACCCTATCGACCCGATATGGACCTTCCCAGTTAGGTCCCAACACTCCTGCACTCGGTTCCCTGGTTCCGAGGAGAACTTCCTTCAACACAAGGTCACCGACCTGGAAGTCTCTTCGCTTGACCTTTGAATCAAAAAACCTCTTTGCTCGCTGCTGGTAGGCTACTATCCTTAGCGAAGCCTTGCTGCGACGTTCTTCAACGAGGTCCAAACTTGCCCTCATAAGTGCTTCGTTTTCAACCTCATCGTACAAGTCCCTCCGAAGTGAACCGGTTCCCACCTCCACAGGAATCATCGCTTCGCAACCATATGCTAGCGAAAAAGGGGTCTCTGAGGTGGAAGTTCTTGGAGTTGTCCTGTACGCCCACAAGACTTCGGGGAGGTCGTCAGCCCAATTCCCTTTGGCTGACCCAAGTTTGGCCTTTAGAGTGTGCTTGATGGTCTTGTTGACTGCTTTGACTTGGCCATTTGCTTGCGGTTTGGCGACTGAAGCGAATTTCTTATGGATACCCAACTCGTCGCAGAACTGTTTAAACTCCTCGTTGTCGAACTGCTTTCCATTGTCCGAGATGAGGGTGTGAGGAATTCCGTAGCGGCACACTATGTTCTTGAAAACGAAGTCTTTAAGCTTTCTGGTCGTGATCGCGGCCAGAGGTTCGGCTTCCACCCATCTTCCTGGATTCGGGGCCAATAATATCCCTGACGAACAATCTTGTTCGCAAGAGATCGAGCAGCTGTGTGGTTACCGCAGATCCCTTCATGGATTTCCCTCATGATGTAATCTGCTTCTTCACTGGTTACATATCAGAGGAGAGGGGCACTGAATCCTCTTCTGTACAGCTGATCCCCGATGAGTGTAAAGCGAGCAGACCTTACTCGCAGGATCCTTGTCTCGACCTTGTCGCTTGGCAAGGTCTCATCCTTAAGGTACTGGATGATGGGAGTCATCCAGGAATCCGGCTGAACCACATTTACGGCCTGTTCGGTCAAGCTGATAGTCGGAGCACCGACGAAACGAACAGGAATGTTGTCCGGAGCCTCTGAATCCAGTGAGGAGGCTATCTTTGCCAGGGCATCCGCTATAGAATTGCTGTCTCTGGGGATCTGAGCGATCTCAAAGTGCTTAAACGTCCCCAGCGCGATCTTAGCCTCTTTCAGGTAGCGGATCATGTTCTCTTCCTTGGCTTGGTATTCCCCTAGAATTTGGTTGACGACCAGCATAGAGTCGCTATAAATGTTGATCGTGGTTGCACCCATTTCTCTGGCAAGTCGCAACCCAGCGAGCAGAGCTTCATACTCGGCTTCATTGTTGGTCGCTTTAAACCCGAACCGGAGAATACCATGAATTCGTGCCCCCTCGGGGCTCACAAGGAGAAGACCTGCACCGGCTCTTTTCCTGTTTGATGACCCGTCGACGTAGAGGTTCCAAGTCAACAGGTTCTGAATACTTTCTTGCGCGGCTTCGCTAGGCCGTTGCTCGCTTGGAAGATAAGAAAATTCCGAAATGAAGTCGGCGACAGCCTGCCCTTTAATGGTCGACCTGGGGCTGTACTTTAGGTCGAACTGACTCAATTCCATGGCCCATTTGAGGAGTTTACCCGAGGCTTCTGGTTTCTGAAGGACCTGCCTGAGGGGGTAATTTGTCATCACATTGATTGTATGGGCATGGAAGTAAGGTCGCAGCTTTCTGGATGCGACCAGCAGAGCAAAAGCTAGTCGCTCCATTTCCGGATACCGCATCTTGGCATCCGACAGACGCTTACTTGCATAATATATTGGCCATTGAACCCTTTCCTCTTCCCGTATTAAAGCTGCACTGACCGCGAACTGGGAGACGGACAGGTAGATGAGCAGGATTTCCTGCGGAAGAGGCTTAGAGAGGAGAGGTGGCTTTCCAAGGTGTTCTTTTATACTCTGGAATGCCTGCTCGCATTCGGGAGTCCACNGAACTGCGGACGATGTTTTTTGAGTTAACACTAAACGTCATGATGAGAATGATTGCTGGAAAGCGATATTACGGTGATAACATTGCAGATCTTGAGGAGTCAAAGAGGTTTAAGGAGATTCATAAAGAGACATTTAAATTAGCTGGAACGCCATGTATAGGAGATTACTTACCGTTGTTCAAGTCCAAGAAACTGGAGAACATGTTGATCAAGTGTCAGAGAAAGAGAGACGAGTTCATGCAGGGTTTGATTGAAGAGCATAGAAGAAGAAGAAGAGGAAGTGGTCATGATTCCGAGACTGATAGAAAGAATACGTTGATTGAAGTTTTGTTGGGGCTACAAGAATCAGAACCTGTATACTACAACGACGAGATCATCAAAGGCCTAATGCTTGTAAGATTTTTGTCTCTCTCTCCCTTGTTATGGAATAATTTTTACCTCTGAATTAAGCATTATCTATTATATATAATTCACTTCAGATACTACAAACTATCTTTATTACTGCACATATCTTTGTGAAATTTCATGTATTTTTGCATCTCTTGAACATAACGATTCCATTTCCTGGTGTAGATAATGTTATTGGCTGGCACAGACACCACAGTAAATGCTATAGAATGGGCACTCTCACTTTTGCTAAACCATCAAGAAGTCCTTGAGAAAGTCCAAAAAGAAATTGACAAACATGTAGGTCAGGAACGTCTGATAGAGGAATCAGATCTGGCTCAGCTTCCTTGTCTCAGTAACATCATCAACGAGACAATGCGTATGTACCCGCCATCCCCACTTTTATTACCTCATGAATCGTCTGAGAAGTGCGTAGTTGGAGGATTTCACATTCCACAAGGGACAATCTTGTTTGCAAATTTGTGGGCTATACAAAATGATCCAAAGCTTTGGGCCGATCCAACAAAGTTTAAGCCAGAGAGGTTTGAGGGAGTAGAGAGGGGTAGAGATGGGTTCAGATTGATGCCATTTGGGTCAGGGAGAAGAGGGTGTCCTGGAGAAGGTTTAGGGTTGACAATGTTTGGGTTGGTTTTGGGGTCAATGATTCAATGCTTTCAGTGGATGAGGACTGGGGAGGAGATGGTGGACATGACGGAAGGGGCTGGATTAACATTGTCAAAGGCTCAACCCTTGCATGCTAAGTGCCGCCCACGTCCAATCATGTTCAACTTGCTATCTCAAATTTGAATGGTATGGTTATAAATTTGTCTGAAAAGCTATTGTGATGTGCAAATACAATGAGTGAAGATGTGAAAATAAAAAGGTTTGACGAATTCTGACACTCATAAGTTGTTCATAACCATTTAATATATCTATGTTTTTGTGTTCTACTTCACAAATTCACACATGTTACTTGTATCTATTTGTGAAATTTGATTGGTACGAAAAAACTTCAATTATAAATTTAATTATCATATGAAAATCAAAGTTATAAAAAAAAGAACAAAAATATTTCAATCATCTGCACATTTCTGCAAGATTTGAGTATGATACCACTATATATATGTTGGTTGGTTCTGTTCATATTATTGTTACTGTTAAAAAGGCTAGCTCATCAATCTTTAAATTCAATGAACAATCTACTCTCTGTTTGGGGAACCAGATAGCAAGAGGAGATCAAGCAAAGTGTCCCATCCATGAGTAAGTTTGCCAATGCAAGATGCCAGAGTTTAGCAAGGACGGCGAAACCAATAAACCTAGTTGCGACGAGGAGAAACAATAATTTAACGACACGATTCTTGGCCATCATTTTATAACTTATAAATCTTTGGCATGAACGCTGGTAAGCTTATTTTCACACCCAAAATGATATAAAAGAAGAAAACTTGTCAATATTATTTCATAATCTAAGGAGCAGGGGCTCTGTTTTGGAATTTTGTGCCTTTTTGAGTGAGTGTGGAAGTGCATCTGTTGCTTGTAGTGACATATGGCATGCCTGATAGCCCGTAAGTAAAAGAATGGTTCTCACTCTAGTTGTGGTCAACGTAAGCATCCCATCCCATCCCATCTGTTTCCTATATCCTTAGAAATAGTAGTTGTAATTGGAAAATAAGCATTTAAATGTAAAGTTTGTTTGATTGATTGGAGATGAGATAAGAATGGTACCAAATTAAACATAGATAATGATACCATTCCATTGATTGAATTTTGTTTGCTTTTATCTCAAAAGATGTTCCATTCTTTTATTTATGCTTCTTGATTTTGTTTGCTCACATCCGTAATGAAAGGAATGGTGTATTTCTTTCATATACGAACTTCCTATTGAATGGTGTACCCAGTCCCACCATTCTTTTTTTATTTTCTTATTCTTTCAAGGGAGAATGGCTATTTCCCACCCAAGGTTTGGCAAATCAACGCTTTCCCACCTGTTAAGTTTCAAAATGACACTTTCCCATCCACCGTTATATTTCGTTAGTAAAATCCATTACTATTTTATTATAAAGATGAAAATACCCTTAACTTTTTTATTTAATAATTTTTTAATTATTTTATGTCATGTAACAGAGTCAATTACCAATATACTCTCTCTTTAAATTTAAAAATTGTATATAAATTTTAATTAAATTCCAGTAAAATATTATTTTTAATAAAAAGTTAGAGAGACAAATGTAAATTTGCATTCACATAAACAATGACAATACCCTGTAATTGAGTAGTAATAAAAGTTTGCTGGGCGGGTATCAAAATAAACATTGAGAAAATTTTACAGAGAGAGAAGTAGCAGAAACATGACAAAACCAGATCAATTTTTTTTTTTTTTCTTTTGATTGGTTCCTGTCTCTCCTTTCACTTCTTTACTATCCACACCATAGGCACTCTCTGGAACAACAACAACATTTTGCAAGATCAAATTTACAACAACATTTTGCAAGATCAAATTTTCATTTTTCTAGTATTCGCATAGACCATAGTACCCACTACCCAAAAACCTCAAATGCACATGGCTTCTCTAACATCTCTTTTTCATTCTCCAACCTTAATTTCCTACTCATCATCTTCTTCTTCTCCTTCCTCCACCAAATGTATTATGCCCAAATCATCTTCTTCATCTCCTTCCTTCACCAAATGTATTCTGCCCACATCTTCTTCTTCTTCTCTTTCCTCCATCAAACCCATTAAAATTTCCAATCTCTACTGATATTATTCAACTGAAATTCATATACAGATTTTTTTAAGGAACCCAAACAACACAACATAACATCCAACAAACCCATTGAAGTTTTTTTATCTCTACTGAAATTTAACAATTAAAATTCATATACAAACTCTTTTCACAAACCCACACAACACAAAATTCAACATCTAACAAACGCAAAGCACCCGTTTGAAGAAAAAATCTTCAAATTCTCCAACCACTAAAAATAAACCCCAAAATCACTAACCCATAGACCATAAGATCCAAAAGAAAAATTGTGAGCAAGAAAAGAAAGAGGGTTGACGTGTCGGCATCAGTGTCACGGTCGAGTTGGGTGTCTATGACGCTGCCTTCGGCCGCAATTTGGTTGGCTACGAGCTGAGTTGGTAGCATCGCAGCCAGCCCAGCTTTTGGCTAAAGGTTGCGACGCTGCCGATCCAGCTAGCAGTTGCAGGTTATGCTGGCGTCGTAGCCTCCAACGTAGAAGGAAGAGATGATGGCGAAGAAAAGATTGGGAAAAAAAGAAATAGAAGGAAAAAAACATATTTCAATTTTAAATTTTGATTTATGAGGCTTCACGTAAATTGACTATTCTATCCTACTTTGTAACGGATTTTCTTAACATAACATAACGGAGGGTGGGAAAGTGCCATTTCACCAAACCTTGGGTGGAAATATGTCATTCTCCCTTCTTTCAAAGAAACCCATCTTTTTATTATTTTACAGTAATGGAGTGGTTTATGTTCCTCGACGAAAGGTTTGCATATATGTATTAGAATTTTGTGGGATTGACGTGATTCTTTGATGCTTGGGAAATCGAAACGAGGGAGTTAAATATTGAATTCTTAGGTAAATCACGTTTTAGATTCTGATTATTGATTTGATGTTTACTAAATTAAGGATGGGATTGATGATTAATAGAAGAAACAAAATCTCAGCGTATATATTTAAATATTATATTAAAAGAAAATGTTACGTTTATATCCCATTCTACAACATTTTCTTAAAATACTAACATATCAACAGGTTGTCACGTTAGTTCATCCAAACACTTAAGGCATTATAGAAATTAACAGTGATTTCTTTATAAAAAAACAGTTATTCTTTATGAATGAACAATCATTCATTATAAAAGGAATGATTATTCTTTTATAAAAAATGATCATGAATAGTTATTTCTTCATAAAGAACATCATTCTTTTTGTAAGGAATAATCATTCCTTTTTTCATAGAAAGGAATAGCCATTTATTTGATTTAGTCAAATTATTTTATATCTTCAGTGAAGTGGAGGTAACGTGATGGTATCAATTCAGTTATTACATTGCAGTTATAATTTTTTTTTTTTTTTTTTTTGTAAGAAGGAGTGGGTTTAGCACTATTCTTTCTATTGACTTGGCTTCGTAATTTTTACTTTTAACAATATCAAAATGACGAAATGCCCAACCAAAATCTGACGCGTCAATCTCCAATTGGTCAAAACCTCCTATTGCAAGAATATTTGCAATCCTGATGGAAAGGGTTGATCCAAAATAAAAAAATTATAAATCCGAGCTAACTTTCGAGTTTCGACTCTCATACAGGCTCACCCTCTGGAAAGGGGTCTGTCCACCACCCTGCCAGAGACTACAAAACAATTCGAATATTCCTCAACCACGACAGAATATTTCATGAACTCCGCCGAACCCCAGGACGACACCGAGTTGTCGCCTAAACCAAGTGACGAGGAGGCCAATCGCCTCTTACCATCCTCAGCCTCCACGGACGACGAGGAAGCGGCATTCGATTCACGAGAAAAAATCCTGATCGATGATGTGGACTCCTTAGACGTTGGCCAAGTGCCCCTTTCTCGTGGAAAACTTTGGCTGTTCACGGGGCCTGTTTTTTATGAGCATAGCGTTTCTGGATCCAGGGAATTTAGAGGAGATCTCCAATCGGGGCAATAGCGGGGTACTCGCTTCTTTGGCTGTTAATGTGGGCTACAGATCATGGGTTTGTTGATTCAATTACTGTCGGCTCGACTTGGGGTGGCAACAGGCCGGCACTTGGCGGAGCTGTGTAGAGATGAGTACCCAAATTGGGCCCGATACGTGTTGTGTTCATGGCTGAAGTGGCGTTAATTGGGCGGATATTCAGGAGGTTATTGGGAGTGCTATTGCAATTCAGATTTGAGTAATGGGGTGTTGCCGCTTTGGGCGGTGTTTTAATTACGGCCTCCGATTGTAAGTGTTTTTCTTTTTTTGGGAGAATTGGAGCTGTTTGCTGCTGAATTCTGATTTTATATTCTTTTTGTATCGAATTATTGCGATTTGTTTGGACAGAGACTTACAATGAATTATTGTATGCTGCTTTGTTTGGATTTTGTTCTGCCAAGGTTATCATGTTTGGACTAAAAAATTAAAGTCCATTCATTAAGTCATCTGTTGCTCCCCGCTGTGCGGAAAAACGATTGTGCTTTATGTTTAACTAGGACTTTTTGTTCGCTCTTGTCAACAGTTTCGTCTTTTATTTCTAGAGCACTATGGAGTTAGAAAATTAGAAGCTGTTTTTGCGGTTCTAATTGCGACCATGGCTCTATCTTTGCCTGGATGTTTGGGACACACAACCTAGTGGAAAGGAACTTTTATTGGGTGAGAAATTTATTTGACATAGAAGGACAGTTTTTTCTTTTTTTTTGCGGCATAATTAATAGATTGTCAATATCATCACTTACTGTTGCTAAACTTATAAACTATAATTTTGCAATACTCTGTGCAGGTATTTTGGTTCCTAGACTGAGCTCAAAAACCATTAGGCAAGCTGTAGGTGTTGTGGATGTGTCATTATGCCTCATAATGTATTTTTGCATTCTGCTTTAGTACAATCAAGGAATGTTGATCCCAACAAGAAAGGCCGTGTTCAAGAAGCACTAAACTATTACTCAATTGAGTCATCCATTGCTCTTTTAGTTCCTTTATGATCAACTTATTGTAACCACTTGTTTTGCCAAAGCATTTTATGGTACTAGCAAGCTGTATGTATAGGATTAGTTAATGCGGGGCAAATCTTCAGGGAAGTATGGAGGAGGACATCTACCAATTCTTTACATCTGGGGTATTGGGTTATTGGCGGCTGGACAAGTAGTACAATAACTGGAACTTATGCTGGTCAGTTTATCTGGAGGGTTTCTCAACCTTCGTTTAAAGAAATGGCTTAGGGCACTAATTACAAGGAGCTGTGCAATTGTGCCGACTATAATTGTAGCTCTCATATTTAACACTTCTGAGTCTTCATTGGATATTCTAAATGAATGGTTAAATGTGCTTCAGTCAATACAAATTCCTTTTGCACTTATCCCGCTTCTTACCTTGGTGGCGAAGGAGCAGATCATGGGAGTCTTCAAGATTGGGCCTTTTTGGAGGTAAATTGTTAGCTTCTTTGTTCTGCCATTTTAATCTACCCTTTTTTATTTCAACTTTATTTGAGAAGCCATTTATAGTTATAGGGTCTAATTAGTAATTATGAGGTCCAGTCGCAACAGAACAT